AGATACTGTTGCCATCATCTTTGGAAAACAGTCGGCTACAGTCTACCTTGTGGCCACAGTTCACATCCTTTCCCATGCAAGATTGTTCATCCCCTCTCAAGAAACCACAAAAGTCTCATACCATTAGGACTTCAGGGTCAGGCTTGAGGCCCAAGAGCTCATCATATAAAGCTCCTCAGATGTGGTTCTTCAATGATAGCACACTGAGCTGCATTCTTCGTGATCCAAAGGCTTGTGAAATCGAGAATTACCTCCTCTCTTCCCTTCCACACGCACTAGGCAATGGTGGTACAGGCTTGGAATAACTGCAACAGACACACTATCCAAAAAGCGGGGAAGGGAAAGCGCACGGCAATCTCTGGTCTATGGCAATTCTGAAATCCAGCCAGGTACACCCTGGAAGGTCCTTGACTAGGGTTTGGTCCTATTCTCTGGGGGTTTCTCTCCATGATTCTTGGCTCTGCTTTCTGTGCTTGTTTCTACCCTCTGGGCCATCCTTCCTTTTTCATTTAAAAAAAAAAAAAGTGTTTACAGCTGAGTAGTTTTCTCAATCTACTGCCTGCCTATACAATTTCAGGAGTAGAAAGACTCCTCATTTTGTACTGTCTCTTTGTCTTTCAGTCTAAGCTGACCTTATTTTAAAAACCTTATGGGTTTCTCAAGTGTCAGTTTATGAAATCCACTCCATTAGCAGAGGCTCATTGGGAGATTGCTGTAGAACACCCGTAATAATCCGAGAAGCCCTACTGTTTAACGGAGGGAACCCGAAAGGCACAACTTTAGAAGGCAGACTGCTGCCTGTCTGAAAAGGTCTAAAAACACTGCCTTAGATCTTTCTGAGGTCCTCACAGAGGACCTTACAGTCCCATCCTGGATTTGACTTTTGCACTGAAGCCATTTCATATTTGAAAATCAGTTTTCACCTTGAAGAGAGTCTGCAAATGAGAAACAGTCTCACCTCCTTTATATGTAATTGCTTTTCTTCATTCATCTCTCTTCTCACCTTGTGTCACAGGCAGCAAAGAGCAGCCAAGGGGTCCTTTTCATACTTTGTCTAGACATCTGCTTGGCTAGATCACCTTACTTATTGGGTACATCTCCTATTTTCCATGTTACCATGGCATCAGTGTTGCCAAACACCTTTTCTCCCACTCTCAATTCCTTCAGCTCTCCCCAAAAACATCCTTGAGACTTCAGGCTTCTGGTAACAGCTTCTGCAAGGCCCTTTAGGGGCTGTTCATGAACAGTCTCCTCGAGGCTCTTCCACCCAGTGCCACATAGCTTATTTTTATTTTGGTACTTATGCTTCCAGATACCAGTTACTATCACTGTATAACAAATCACTACAAAGTTTAGTGACCTAAAATGATGACTTAATTATCTCTGAGTTTTTGTGAGCCATTTCTCAAACCATTCACTTGGGCAGCCTGGCTTGGGATCTGTCATGTAGCTTGAGAGAGATGGTGAAACAGACGGTCTGGAGAAACCGAGGGCTGGCAGGGCATCTGTCCGTGCAGCCTCAGGCTCTCTTCACAGGGGCTCGCTTAGGCTTTCTCACTGTGGCAGCCTCAGGGATGTCAGACTGCCTCCATGCCAGCACAGAGCTCCAGCATGGGTATTCCAGAGCTCAAGGCCGGACTTTCATTCCTTTTCATTGCCTTTCTGGCCCAGCCTTGGGAATTACAAAGTATCATTTTTACTGCATTCTGTTGGTTTTAAGAAAGTTCCATTTAAACACACATTGTATCTCAGCAACCTGAATCCTCACTGACCTTGATATCCTAACCAGCTGCTGGGGTTCCTTCAGACAGGACTAACTACGGGCTTCCTAAGTGTGCCTGGGTTCTACTGGTTCTAGCTTACACTCAACTGCCATTTTAATTAACATGTTAATTAGCTGTTTAAGCCCTGCTGCTGGTCTGAAGGGAAAAGGCCCCCAGCATCTTTCTATTATTTTTTTCACAGAGTCTTGCTCTGTCACCCAGGCTGGAGTGCAGTGGCACAATCTCAGCTCACTACAACCTCCACCTCCTGGGGTTTAAGAGGTTCTCCCATCTCAGCCTCCCAAGTAGCTGAGATTACAGGCATATGCCACCACGCCTGGCTAATTTTTGTATTTTTAGTAGAAACAGGGTTTCACATGTTGGCAAGGCTGGTCTCAAACTCCTGACCTCAAGTGGTCTGCCCGCCTCAGCCTCCCAAAGTGCTGGGATTACAGGTGTGAGCCACCACGCCTGGCCAACCCCCCAAGTGTCTGATTTTCTATACGTCTAGTCTCAACTCTTTCTGCATTTATAAGTCCTAAGTTTCCATATTTCCTCTCATTCTGTAAATAACTCTAAACTATTTTAAAAAGGAAATCATACTGCTTTAAGGCTTCATTTTCCCTGTAATTCATTCATTCAGTGTTACAGTCTCTGGATGAATATAAACTCCTTTCTTAGAGGCCAGACACTTATTTCTTCCACACAGTTGGAAATCACATGAAGAAGTAAAGCACAAGCTTAAACAGACGTCTTCAGAGAGCCTCACGGCAAAGGATGCACAGGGGTCTAGCAAGAAATGGTCAATCAGAGCTTCTAAGTAAAATATCACACTGTTTCCTGAGCTTCTTTTTCGAAAACAATTAAGTTTCCGACATAGTTTGGGCATGCAATTTGAATTTTTTCCCAGCATTTTGCAGGTCTTCAGTATCCTAAGTCATATTATTATTTTCCAAGTTCTTACATTTACCAGTGTAAATTTTCCCATCAAGTACGTGATTAACTAGCTGGTTAGTATCTAAAGAATTACCTCAAGGTTGCATACACAGCCCAGAGATTCCATCTCTCCACAGGGCAGCCATTACTCCCTCCACTTCTGCATTGTTCCTACCTCTGTGAATGAATCATTGTTCATCCAGCTATTTAGGCCTCAGGCCCCAAGAAAATTATCTTTGATTTCTCTCTCACAACTCCAGTATTCTCATAGGCAAGTCTTCTGCCTATTTCAAATCTGAATGTTTCTGTCTCCACCACCTTAGTCCAAGTCACCGTGCCCAACCTTACCTGGACCACTGCAAGTCTCCAAATTGCTCATACTCTTTCAATGTTTGCTCCACCTTAATCTATTCACACAGCAGCCAAAGGATTCTTTTAAAATGCATACACCACATCTCTTGCTTACCATAATTTTAGGGCCTCAAATGATCTCTGTCTGCCTACCTCTGAAGTTCACCCCCTACCAATCCTCCTTCCTCACTAAGCTCTATCAACACTGGCCTTAAAATTCCTAGACATGAAGTTCATTCTTATCTCTAAGCCCCATGCACTCATTCCTTCTGCCTGGAACTTTTGCCTTGCACATTTCCCTCCTCACAGCTTGTTCTATCACTCGTTTCAGGCCTCTGCTCAAATATTGCCTTCTGTAGCCTTGACACGCCATTCAAAATACCGGCTGGGTGCAGTGGCTCATGCCTGTAATCCCAGCACTTTGGGAGGCCAAGGCAGGCAGATCACCTGAGGTCAGGAGTTCGAGACCAGCCTGGCCAACATGATGAAACCCCATATCTACTCAAAATACAAAAATTAGCTGGGTGTGGTCACGTGCGCCTGTAATCCCAGCTACCCAGGAGGCTGAGGCAGGAGAATCACTGGAACTCAGGAGGCAGAGGCTGCAGTGAGCCAAGATCGCACCACTGCACTCCAGCCTGAGTGACAAAGCAAGACTCCGTCTCAAACAAACAAAAAAAACAAAAAACACCAATCCTCTCTGCTCTCTCAAATCCTTACACTGCTTTATTATTATTCAAAAGAATTAGCAGTCACTGATATTATGTACGGTATTGCTTATGTCTAACTAGATTTCAAACTCCATGAGGACAGATTTAGTAGTATTTTAAGTACTGTGTGTAGTATTTTAAGTACTACAGTCTTCTCAGTAATTAAAACAGTCCCTAGCTCATGGCAGGAACTTAATATTTTTTAATGAATTAATCTCTGCATTTTCAAACTGGAGAACAATTAGGCAGAAGAAGTCCTGTTAAGCTTGCTATAATTAGTGAGTACACTCAGGCCACTTCTGTTTCCACGGATTCTATCCAGATGCCAATGCTAAAATTAATGTGCTAACTATCAATATTATATATGCTTTAGAAAATTTCATTTGCTGACTCAAAGAAACAGCTTATTTATATCCACATTATTACTTTGCCAACCCTTAAATAACAAAACCTGTTCCTACAAATATTTTGATATATCTTCAAGTCCATGGGTATTTAGTTCAAGCCATGAAACGTTGGTAACTACACTTTTAGGACTGCAAATTTCAAACCAAGTTCTCCTGAAAATCCGAATTGTTTAAAGTAGAAGGCATCTATGTAGATGCATAGCTAAGTCATAAATGTAACCAAAAAAGTATTGCCCCAGGACAAAGTTTATAAACATTTTCTCCCCCACGCCCCACATCTAGTTTGTACTCAGGAGAACTTTCAATCAGATATTCTAGATCACTTGGTTTTCATCAGTCCCCAACATTTCTAATCCAATTCATGACTACCAGCCAACAGCTTTCTACACAGAATTTAATCATTTTGGTCTCATAAACAGCCCAGACATGAGGAAGACATGCCCCCCGGCCCCTGGGAAAAAAAAAAAAAAAAGCACTAGGAAATGGAAGAAATGAGACATGAAAACTTGGAAAATATTTAAGGCGGCAATTACTGAATCTTTAGTGTTGATTACTAATTTCAGTAACTATATTTTTTACACTTTGGTTTATGAAAACTCATCACATTTGTCACTTTAAGAATGATTTTAATCATTTCTACTCCCAAAGATTTGAGAAGATAAGATTTAAGATCCAAGTAAGCCTTTCTTATTTTCTGGAACTTCCCTCAGTGATAGCTGCACTGAAGACAAACTAGGGGTTGAAGAGTCACCTGTATGATGTATTTAGGTCACGATTCACAGAGGATCAATTTAATCAATTACTTTCCCCAATTCACAAAAGCATGACCTTAATACATATAAATTGTTTTCTTTTTAGAAGTTACACGTTTTAAAAGAACAATTTCTTTTTATTCTTTCATTCTAATAATATTATCACTACTTAGAACATTAAAGGAACATATTTTCATTTATGATAGCTGAAACCAAAACTTTGTAAGGCCAAAGCAATGAATAATCTTCAATTCAACAAGAGATGCTGGGATACCTGAGGATTATGTTTCCCGTTCTGTATTAAAGAGCACAACATTCAAAACTATAACAAAATTCAGACATTAGTTCCTTAGCTAATGGAAGTTTATGTATTTGGTATACTCTACTTCATTTTTAATTTGGAAAAGCACATGTTAAAAATAGTTTTAATACAAAGGCATTATAAATGTAAATTTAAAAATCAGACTTTGTATGATCAGTGAGAAATGTTTAAAATATTCAGCACACACTTTCCTCTTCCTGGAAATTCTCAGATTAGAAAGCCCAAGTTTGTGAACTTCTCATTTGGCAACAAACCTCAATTTAAGAACTAAAGTGTCTTAAACTTCTTCTTCCACCAAAAACACAAACAAAATCCAGTTTTCCTCAATAACTAGAGAACAGTCCCTGCTCTTAATATACTGCCCTTTTTCTGAAAATAGTTCAATTTCATAAACATTTATTCTAATATTTATTGCTACTAATGTAAGGAATGTTTCTTGATATCCAATATGTTCTTTAAAAGTTTAGCATGAATCCTAGTATCAAAGAAAGAATACGGGGAGCAATAAAATTCATGTTTTCTAAAATAAAAAGTTCATAAATATAATTTTTTACAATAACTATATTTAATCATTCTAAGCAGCACACTTTTTAACACCCCTAAATTAGGATGAGTCTTAGAATTGATGTCAGCTCACCATCAACTGCATGGCCTCAGGATCCTGGAGCCACCAGCTACTCTCCCGCTCCATGAGGATCCACCCTCCACTCCCAGTTTTTCCAGCCCTTCTCCCAGCCTGGTCTGCACAATCCCTCTAGCCTGTGTCCTCTCAGCTAAGGACAAGCCTGAAGAGTCCCAGGACTGCAAACTGAGGGCTTTTAAAACAGGCAAGCATGCTGGAGGTCAGAGTGAAAAACTGTTATTATCCACTTCTTATACTGGTTACAAGCTCTTGGTAGGGTGGACAAAGGACTGAGAAAAAGGCATGTGTAGAGAATTGGCAAAGCTTCAGTGCTCCGTACAAGTGTCTTACTGCCCTTGCACCCCACCCTCTGCAATGAGAAATCCCTCCCTTCATCCATTTTTGGTAACTATAGAATGTAATATCTGGAAAAGCAGAACTAAATATAATCAGGTGCTCAAACTTTTATTTTCTTACAAAATGCTATAGAAATGAACCCAAACTAAACAGATATGTACATGTATATATGTACAAAATTTTATTTCTGAAAAAGAATCTATAAAAATAGATGGTATAAAAAAACTTAAAAAGATTTAAAACCAATACTATGAAATTGATTTTCTTTTCTTTTTTTTTTTGATTTTCTTAAAGTAATAGTAAATTGCTGGTTATAGTGGGTTTTCTAGGCTTATTTATACGTTTGATTGTGGTTGGATATATAAAGGAGTTTCTTTCAGAATGCCTCCAGTCTCATTTTATTACATCAAAGAGTCCAGAATTTTTTTCCCTTCACAAATCCTTCAACATCAGGACAAGGCATGTTACGTTACAAATCAACTTTGGTCATCTTCTTCTTCTTGAGTCACAGGTCTGAAAGGCAATGTAGTTTGTCCTCTTTCGGGATCAGACATTCGGAGAATTCTTATCAGTTTACTTGATGGAAGTGAACTGGAAGAAGCAAAATCAATTACTCAAATTTCCAAGAAACCTTTTACCAATTAAAAAAAAATACTAATATTACCTCATGAAAATATAAACCTAAATATTTGGCTATTATCTGGGATATGTCTAATATCTAGAGTTCTAGGAGAAACATCATTTGCAATAAGGAAATAATTTGTTTTCAATTTTAAAAATTAACTTCCTGCTAGATTCCATGGATTTTCAGTTTGGAGGAAAAGAAAATGAAAGAAATTTATATATCACCTCTTTTAAATTTCTGTTATTGTCCAGCAAGGAAGGAGTTACCTGAACATTCCCAACCACAAATTTAGATCCCCATATAATCACATGGCCACTTTAGAGACAGAATATCAACTCTAAGTGACATAGTGTCTGACACATTGTAGGAACCCAATAAATACTGACAGCAGAGTAGAACTCTTTGTTTAGAAAGATTGACATTTGTAAGTCACCAAGAGAAAAGAGGCAAGATTAGGGAAATCATAAATCATTTTAGTCCAAACAGAATTACTAAAATTATATTACTTTCGTTTGTCATGATAACGACAAAGAAGCGGACTCAGAATAGTAACAATTTGCCTCAGTTATGAAAGGGAAGTAATACAAGTAAAATTTAAATATCTCGAAAAGAGAAAAACATCCCAAATCTCCCGAACTAGTAGGGGAGTTAATTTTTATTTTCATTGGTCTTGTATGTATTTGTATTTTAAAAATTAAAATTGTAAAAGATTTCTTTCCCCCTTTTGTATACTTGATGTGTTTCTAGAAAGTTTTAAAAAGTTACCTCATGCTTTGAGGTGTAAGTAAGATAAACTGTCTAAAACGCTGGGAATCTGCCATCTTCAGTATCAAGTCCATGGCAATTCTCCTATTAACCATATCCTGAAAAACAAAGGCAAAAGTTAGGATTGCTACTGTGTAAGTGACATTTCTGTAAAAGCAGCATTCTGTGGGCTGATACAAGCTCCTGGATTTTCATCCAGGGATCAGTCATTACATTATCTATGATGTCCAATAAATCTATTATACTGGAAAAGAAATACCAGAAACCATTAGGAGAAAATTGGCTGGCTGCAGTGGCTCATGCTTGTACTCCCAGTGCTTTGAGAGGTGGAGGTGAGAGGATCAACTGAGGTCAGGAGTTCGAGCCCAGCCTGGGCAAATATAGTGAGACCCTGTCTCTACCAAAAAAAAAAAAAAAAACGTTGGGCATGGTGGTGCATGTCTGTCATCCTAGTTACTTGGGAGGCTGAGGCAGGAGGATCACTTGAGCCCAGGAACTCAAGGGTATAGTATGCTATGATCACACCATTGCACTGTAGCCTGAATGACAGAGTGAAACCCCATCTCTAAGGGAAAAAAGAGAAACTCTTAGGGGACAATAACTGAATAAATATGTCTTTCAGGTAATTTCTATAGTCAAAATATTTGTATGCATGGCCCCCCTCCCTCAAATACGTGTAGCAATTGAAATAATCAGAAAATATTCTCCTGACGCAAATAAATGTTCGAGAATAAATCTAATTTGCACAGTAATGGTTAATGACTCAAGGTAATGGTAACAAAAGTGGCTAGTCTCAAATTCATTAAGTCTCTCAAATTTTCCCTCAATGATAAAGGTTAGGTTGTAAAAAGTCTGCCTCTCCCCATTACCTCTACCATTTGTACAATGTAAACCAATTTGAACTTACAGACCAATTTCTCGATTGTATCTTTAAATAAGTTAAATAGCACATCAGGGTAGAGAAAAAGAATAATGCTTAGTTATAATAGGTTTTGGGATTAAATGATCTAGACCTGTGGCTACATTTTCTGAGTTAAATAACAGTAAAAGAAAATCAAAGTGTTCCTCAACCACCTTGAATCATTGACACATGAACACGTATATTTTAAAGGTCTTAATTTAAAACTATATGTGGTGC